CAATATTGTAGCATCTATCATCACCTATCATCACCTAAATAGACTATCATCACCTAAATAGACTAAGCCAGAATTAGTTAACCTGTATGAAGTAAACCACTTCCTATTAGGTGTCATGTGACAAAGCACAGTGAATCAAAAATCCATGCATTCATGAACAGATTTGATGAAACTGAAAGCATATCACCATCGTTGCAATTTGAATTGTCACTCTGCACCACATTTACAGACTTGGATGATGCATCATCTTTCTCCCCAGGCTGCTTCTTGAGCTTTGGACAATCCCTCTTCATATGACCCGACTCCTTACACTTGTAGCAATGAATTCTCTTTTTGGCTTTGGACTTTGATTTGAAATTTCGCCTTACAGAACCCTCCTCTTTTTTCCTTCCACGATCCTGCTTACCCTTGACTTATAAGCTATCAACTTGAGAACTCTCCCCTAAATTCTGCTTCCGCTGGTTGTGAGTCAACAATGCTGCATTAATCTCATCATTTTTTATAGTTTCTTTCCCATACGTCAGAGTAGTCACCAGATGTTCATAAGAAGAAGACAGTGAACACAATGAAATCATTGTTCGGTCTTCATCCTCAATATACTCACATCAAACCGTCACAATTGTGTAATTATTTTAATTGAAGTCATTTACGTGTTATGCCAGATCAGAACCTTTTTGCATCTTCAGCCTATATAGCTTTTGCTTCAGATACAATTCATTCGTACAATATATAATTGCAAAATTATTCATGTACCATACCGCGGGGTGTTGCCCCCGCATCACCAACCTACATAACGAAACTCTCCCGATTTGGACAGATTCTTCCGCTCTGCTTCATTATGCTTCATTTCAACATCTGTCTCTTATATGGTATATGAGCCATACCTAGCACTTTCCTTGAGTATTCTTTCTTCGTCGAGTATGAAAAAGCTTCATGCAACTTTGTTTAGCGCAAAGGGGAAGACGCATCGAGCAAAATGCATGGGATTGATTAATATCGAGTCGAGCCTGAATGCAAACAGAACCGTCGCTTACTAAGGGCCTTAAGAATATTAATTTATGAATTATATATATATATATATATAACAGACCCTCGGTGGCCAGAATACTTGTGGAAAGAGATATTAATTTACATGATGTTACTGAAGTCTGGTTGGGCACAACCCATAATGGTTATTGGCAACAAATCGTCATGAAGCACACTCCTTTATTGTACCGACCCCCATATTGTACCCACTATAAGATGTTTGGTCATGTCCTAGATAAATGCCACAAGTTTCATCCAAATTTGAAATCTAAGGTTCAAGTGAACAAGGATGGGTCACTGCTCTAGACATTTTAGTTCCACCAGGAGAGGATACTACCAGACAGGAGGTGTTATTGCTCCTGAAGAACCCCCCCTGACACTGTTGTTACTGTTACTACGAGTGATGTGATGCTGATACTTTCAAACTCCATAAAAACCAATACTGATGGAATATTACTTACAAATGATAGTGTTCAGACTGATAATCGATAATCAGGAGAGCCTCAGCCTCATAGCTCCACTTCTTCATGAAGTATCCGGTGTAGAGGCAACTCATACTTCACATATACTAGAACCTATTGTGGGTAATATGGTTGGTAATCTTTCTGCTTCAGTTCTACCACCCCATCTGACTGATTCTTCAAAAGAGGAATGTTAGGTCTACTCCAAGAGGAAGAAGAAGAATGGAGGCCGACTCCAGCTCGGGAACATGTTGGATGATACATTGATTACTACTGGCAATGACAATCATCTTACCAGCTTATTAGCTTGCTTCTACCCTAAAACTAGAGACAGAGACAAGACCAAATTGGGTCGCTCTCTAGCCACCTGATACTATGTATTTCAGCACTGTTAGACTTTTTATTTTAGTATATAATGTATTTTTCTGTTTTTTTCAAATTTTGGAATCATTTTTTGTTTTTTGTGTGGGCAGGGTGTCATGTTTGGGCCCTCCCACACATTATATCTGTATTCTTTCTTTCTATTTAATATATTAGTCTTTTTGGGATTTCAAAAAAAAATATTCATATATATATATAAAGTCTGAGGGCAAATATATTAATACGAAAAAAAATATAGAACTGTTGTATGAGAGGACCTAAAGGAAAGCCCAACTCATACAATACAACACATACAAAACCCAAATACGGAACTACTCATACATAATTGTTATATATATATACATACATATATATGTTTAATTATTACTTGTTCATAGTAAGTTTAATTAAATTAGTGATTAAGTGAGGTATGTTTAAGGGAAATTTTAAATTTAGAATTATTTTAATTATTACTTTACAAGTAACACACACACACACACTTATGTATATATTAAATAAATATAATTAAAAATAAATGGAAATTAAGACGTTAGGATAGGATTTGAATGAATTAAATGATAAATTAATTATTAAGTTGAGTGTTGATTATCTTGCCTCTGCTTAAAAAAAAGGTATTTGAATGAATGGAAATTAAGACGTTAGGATTAGGGCTGTCAGAAAAGCTCGTTGTTCGCGAACAGTTCGTGTTCGGTTCGTCAATAAGTTCGTGTTCGATTCGTTCGATAAGTAAACGAGACAAACGCGAACAAATTTTTTTCGTTCGGTTAGTTAAACGTACCAAACACGAACAGTGAAGCGTTCGTTCGTGTTCGAATCGTTATTGTTTGAAATATAAAATAATATAAAATAATTATATATAAAAAATTTATTATATTTTAAAACATTAAATTTTATAAATTATAATATATAATAAAATAATAATAATAATATATTAATATACTATAGTAGTAATATACTAATATAGATATTGTATATTTATATAATATAAGTTATATAATTAATATATAATATTATTTTTATATATTAATATTAGGGATGTCAAATTGGCTCGTCGTTCGCGAACAGCTCGTGTTCGGTTCGTGTTCGGCTCGTTCGTTAAGAAACGAACACGAGCTTATTTCAAACAAACTAAATTTTAAACGAACCGAACACGAACACAAGCTTTGTTCGTTCGTGTTCGGTTCGTTTACACCCCTAGTTAGGATGGGGTTTGCTTATATTAATTGAGTGTTGAATAACACTCAATTTAATCCTATCCTAACGTCTCAATCAACACTCAATTAATATATGAGTGTTATTTTGCTTATATTAAAAAAATATATTAAATTGAGTGTTGATTATCTTAATAAATGGAAATTAAGACGTTAGGATAGGATTTGCTTATATTAAATTGAGTGTTGATTCATTTAATAGGCAGAGGCATGATTTGAATGAATTAAATCAAATAATTGATGCATAAAATGACCATTTAAGCAGATAATTAATTATTGTTAATATTTTTATGGGTATTAAATTGTAGAACATGTCAAAAAAAAAAAAGATTGGAAATCTAAAAAACAAGTCATGCGATACTAAGGTGAGTACTCATATTCTTATGCTACAGTAATATGTTTGTTTATTTTAAATAAAAAGCATTTACTATTATTATCACTAGTTATATCGAAATTACTCCAAACTCATGATTTATGATTATATCGAATTTTTTTTACAATGTAGAAATGATACGTGTACTCAACATTATTTATATTATCGTAGATATTGAATTTTGTACAAGAATGTTGACTGCTTTCTAAATGAGAATGAAATAATAACTATTAGATATTGATTTTTATAGTATGTTTGCATGTGCATGTTTGATTATGATGTTCACCCATTTAGGATACTAACCAGAAAATGCTAAGGTGCCCGTGCATGTAAATTAGAAGGGTTATTGATATTGATGTGTCTACATCGACATAATTTTAGATGGTGCTCATGTGACGGAGTTGCAAATATGATATAGAAATGTTACTGACATAATAAAATGCATTGAATATTATGAACTATCGTGAAAAATTATATTTGAAAAAATAAAATATTTATTATTTTTATGTTGATTTATATTATCTCTGACTAGCATACATATCGTTTTCTCTTTGTTACGTTACTATAGTTTAGAAGTATGAGTATTCACTAACTTTGGTTAGTGAAATATTGTTTTAAACTAATATTTCAGGTTTAATTAATTGATTAAATGATGAGCAATAGAAGATGAAAAAATTATGCAAGTTGCTGACAACCTGACCTAAGATAAATTTATAACTGCTTTAATTTAATTTCTTTTCTGCCGTGACCAATTCATTTAGTAAATGTTAGTTATAAAAAACAAATTTATAAAAATTAAATTTTCACCCTCTGACTGTCTGTACTTGTCTTTGTTAATTCCAAACCTCGCACTGTGTAATGACATTAACTTTTTAACCCTCTGCCATTTCTTCCCTCCACTTCGAGTCAGGGGCCCATCTCTTCAGAAAAAAACTTTTGAGACGGCCACCGATTGATTCAAATTGACACAAATTTACATTCTTTTTTTATGTTTTTTCCCCGGTTATTACATATGGGTTCATAGTTGGCCAATAAAAATAGTTGATATTTAGCTTTGTGGTGACATGAATAAGAAATGAATATGTAACAAAATTAAAAAAAAAATGTATAATATTAAAGAAATACTTGGAGTAACATCTATTAAAGTAATGGAAATTAAAAATAGACTTTTTTTAATTGGAGCATCTACAATACAAGGTAGAATTTGCACATTCAATGAGCGGATAAAATTAGTGATGAGAGGATTAGAATTGCCAAGGAGAAGATAAAAATGTAAAATAAGGATTCATAAAACTAACCCATAACTCTAATGCCACGATGATGAAAACTATTTGAATGAAATTTTTTTTCCCCTCATGTTAAAATGTCAAATAATTACTTTAATTAGTGCCACGAATTGTTCTAAGTACACTAATTTGAAACTTATAATGCCTGGTTTCTTCAAACACTTTACATTAAACAACAGTGCAGAATATGAAATTGTCTCTAATTCTGCTGTATGTGTGGTCCGTGGGTAGCCAAATTATTTAACTTTGGTGCAATCTACAGGTTATTTTCCCCAGTTTTGGAGAGAGATATATATCGACGGTTCTTTTCCATCCTCTTCATGAAGAAGTTCGGAAACTGGGGAAGAGGTGAGTCCTGATATCCCCAATGCTTTTAAGAACAGAAAACTGAGAAAGTAAGCATTCCAGCTCTGCTAATTCTGCTTATTATTCCAGTAGCAGAACATTAAGCCTCATACGGGCTGCTATAAATAGAAAAAAGCAAAGTTTATGCGTTAGATATGTAAATACATAGAAATACCCCTACTGGGATTTATATTCATATTGTCTATTAGAAATATTATGATTTTAATTTAGAAGAATGCAAAATCTCAACCTACAATGGATGTTGAAGTTATGAATTTATGTAGTGTTTTTAATATGGTTTCTATCTATGGCTCATTTGAGTGCTAGAGACAATACAACTTCTGCTAATAATATATACAAGTTCAAATTAAAAAAGAAAAAAAAATTATTTTTTTCCCTCAGTAAACATATCAAGGTATGCCAGTAGTATAAAATTTCTGATTGGTTATGCTGATATACTTTCCATCAAGATGAGATTATTTCTTACATTGTGTTTTATGGTTTTTCCTAATTTGTCATTAGATGATACAAGTAAATTATTAGTCAAATATAATTGATTTTCTTAAAATAAATATAGATAAAGTTAATAAAAAGAAATGCGTTAGGTTAGGCTTTTAGGTGGTGGGCGGGTCAGGTTTGGTGTGAGTTAGGCTTAATTGGGTTTTGATGGTCAATGTGAGCTCGAGATGGGCTTGGGCTCAGTTTCTATTTAAAAAATCGGTCAAGTATGCCCTCTCTATGGTCTGGGTTGGTCCACGGGCCTTGAACTCCACACTAATCAAAATCAACAATTTTTTCTTAATCAAAATTATTTATTTATTTATTTTTATCTCAATTGTGATTATAAATTGTAAAAAAAAATGCTTAGCGGTCACTAGACTTCCAAAGCTAGAAGAAAACTATGGTTTCAGCCCATTAACTGTATAGAGTAATCAGTCGAACCACTTATTTTCTAAAGCTGCTGGTCTCATTCATGATTTCCATTTCCACATTAGTAGTCGCTAATTATTTGGAGGATTTAGATACATACAAATCAATTTCTATGTATTTACATATCCAACACTTAAATTTCATTTTTTACGTACATATCACCTTGCATATGCATGAGAAGGTACATCTCATTGTTCGAAGTTAAAATGATGGTATTTTTTTATGTGATATGAAGCTTTTTTATGATTAATAGAAAGTAATTAAAAGTTCTATATAGTTTTTTTTTTATGTTAGTGAACATATTATTGTGACAATTAAAATATTCTTTGCAAATAAAAGTAATATGTGATGTTAAAGAAGTAAATATTAAAATGTTGAGTGTGAGGTATGTAAACACAAGAATTATGTGATATGTAGTAAATTACTCTAGAAAAATATATTTTTGGGTTGGGCCTTATAAGTGCGGGTTGGGGTTTAGCTCTTCCGGGCTTTGACTTAATCAAAGTGAACTCAGGCCGGGCTTGGCCGCCCAATGCCAAGGCCGACTCATGCCAATTTTTACAGAAAAAAAAGATTTTTTTTTTTTTTTTTCTAATTGGAGTCCATCATAAACTTCAATTTGTATATATGTGCTTTCTTATTGAAGCAAGAAAAAATGCATTTGACTTTTAAATAGTTAAAATAGTAGTATTTTCATCACGATAAAAAGGAATTTGGTGATATAAATATAAAATACAAAAAAAGGGTTATGTATGTAAATACATTGGATGTAAATACTTTGGTAATCGGATGATATGCGTGTAAATGCTCCAATTTATTAGGAGTTATTGAAAGTTTACTTCATGTCATATGATATGATTTTTAACACATTTATTTTGAGTTTTAAATATTTTATTAATACTTTGTGACGAAATACCTGAACCATAAATGAAATTAATACCTAAACATTCTGCATTAGAAATTAAACTATTAAAAGAAATAATAATCGCTATAGAAAATAAGGGGCAAATATATATTGTTGCTCATTGAATAGAGGAGAGTAATCTGGAGTAAAAATAAAAATTATTTGATATGTCTGTGATTTTTAATTAATTATATACTCTTTGAACTATTTTAATTCTAATTAGACAAACAATAATCAACATGACTTGAAAATTTGGGGGTTTATTCCTCATGCTAATAGGGATGTTCTCTGATTTTTCTAAGGTTAGAGAGCTTATCTAGCTTTGAAACCCTAATTTTCAATCCCAAATGCCAATTTTTGCTTAAAATAATTTTATAAACTAAAATATAAATCATAAAATTATGGGATTAATTTTTGTAGGATTCTCCTGGTCAGAGAATCCTAAAAAAATATAAAATGGATTTAAGTAATTTTGTATAATTTTATATTTTATTAAATGTCTAAAATTTATAATAGATTAATTAAATAAAATATTTTTCAAAATTTAACAAAATCAATTCCACATTATAAATGATAATCATATTAACTCACTGTTAGAATTTGGAATAATTTGGAGTATATTTATCACTAAAGTTGATTTTCTAAGTAAAATTGTATTTTTGTATTAAAATAATTATATTAAAGTAAATGCAATTAGAAAAATTTTGAAAAGCTGTTTTCTGAGTTCCTTATGATCAGAACCATTTATGAAAAAAAAAATCTATATTAAGGTAAATACTTTATTTTTTTAGCTTATTTTTTAATTGAAAATAATTAAAAATTACAAAAATACAAAAATGGTCTAAAATGTTCCTAATTATTTTCTGATCACTTGGGACTCATTAGAATATTTTTCCTAGCTTTTCTAAGTTAAATATAATTTTTATAAAGGCTAAAAATGTATTTTCTATAATTTTCCATTAAATTAATTATAATAAATAAATTAAAAGTCACAAAAATGAAAAGTTTATTTCTCTGAGTTCTCTGGACTTAGAGAGAATTACTAAAAATATAAAAAGTAATTTTTGAAATTAAATTATACTTTCTGTTTTAATTAATTGATAAAATTAATAAATAATTTTAATAATTAAAATATAATTTGAAAAAATCATGAAATTTTGTCTAAATGGTCCTCTGACCTAGGTGAACCTCCAATAATTTTCTCATGAACAAAAATTTTACTTTGATTAACTAAATAAATTAATATTAAAAATCCTATTTTTGAGTTAAAAATAATTATTTAAATTAAATGAAACTTGGAAAATCACATTTTTCTCCTCTGATATTGTAATTGACCCATGAGTGTGGTACTCCAAAAATTTCAAAGTCATTTGAGTTATATTTGATGAGTTATGAAGTGAGGAGCCCTAGAAGCAAAATAACAATTTTGGATTCTTAATGCCTTAATCAAATTTTAAGATAAATTAAAAATTTTAAAAGGTTAATTTTGATTATATCAAGTTCTTTTGGATAATTGAGATATAAGGGACTAAAATGGTAGAAACCAATTTCTCGCTCTTTTACAATAAAGTTATAATTATAATTTCCTTAATTATTATAATTTGGAGGTCAATTAAATTAAATGATTTAAAGGTGGTGGGCTTATGTTAGGAAGATGATAATTCACTAATCTAAAGCCCCCTTATTGGTGATTTGATGATAAGGCACAATCTTGATAAGGAATTGAACTTCACCTAATTTATAATTTAATCATTGTAAGTTCACTTTAAATGTTGGACCCTAAGGGCTTAGTAGTGCACTGAGCTCAATTTGAATTTGTCTAGTGAGGATTAGGAAAGAAAACATAATTAATTATAAACATTTATGAAAGCACTACGGGCCAAGCTTTACCTGTTGGCATGAGATCCTTAATAGCTTGAGTTTGTTCTAAGGACACTCATTCACATAACTCTTAAATAAAACATCAACTGACTAATTAAGTACCCTTCTCATGAGATAATTAAAACATCCGGTTCACTGAGCATAGGGTGTATTAATTCATTAATTCATTTGAACTAAATCTAAGTTTGGGATGATTAATTGAACAACATAATAGGTCCAATTGAACTCGAAACTTTTCAAAAAGCTCTAAAAAGCTATTAGGGATTGTCAAACACTTTTATGACCTTTTAGATATTTTGAAGGGCAGTTGGATATTATACTTTATTCCAAAAAATCATCCCCTAAGACGTTTAAGGACCCACCAAGTTATGACTTAGGGTATGGTAGTTACACCTTCAACTGCTCTTCTTATTTTCTGTTCCTGCAAAATCATATATATATTGCAAAATCTAATCTTTCAGCGGGAGTAGCGAGAAGATGATAGGTACACCTTTACATTTTTATTTACTTTCAGTCATTTTATTTACTACAATTTACTCTCGCCTTAAAATATTATACATGCTTGGTTGTGAATGTTACTTCACCTACAAAACAAAACCATTTTTAAAAATTAACCAATAATTTTTTAAATTAAATTAAACACTTTCAAAGGTAACCATAGATTCTTTGAAATGCAATTAAACATAAAACACTGTTTTGAATTTACGGGAGTCCCTAGAATGAGGTAACCCATGGTTGCTAATGAGATCTCCTTGATTTAAATGAGCTTAATAACTCGTTTAAACTAGGTAAGTTCAAAAGAAAATAATAGTACCAGAATGAGGGGACTGTGTGATCCTAACCAGTGTCGCTCTAATCAACTTTAACCCCCCTTCCCATAATGTTTAAATAAGCTTAAAACACTTGGTAAAACCTTTAAACCTTAGACTTTAAGACTTCTACTTCATTAAGGAGCTCAGAGCTAACTCTGCAAACATCAATCTACAACAGCATAAGGATCTACAACAACATGAAGATCTACAACAACACATATTTTCCCTAGAATTAAATAACAAGCCATAGAACTTAGAGGTTGTTTACTTATGCATCATAAATCCTCACTTTATCTTTAGGCCTTTGCACAATCATGTTGTGCAATTTAAGCCCTAACTCATTTTAGGATTCTGAGGTTGTCGTTCTTTACGACATAAATCCTCCCATCTTCCAGGATATTTGTATGATTGTGTCATATAAATATAATCCCTAAATAATAATAATTGGCAGGATGAAATACTTGATAATTTTCTTCTCCAAAATTGAAGTCAAACCATAGGATTAACTTGGGAAGTAACTGAGGTTCTCCTCATGATCTGTGATAACCTCTAGTTTATCTTTCTTTGGGTTCCTAAAATCAATGTTCCAAATTTAAGACATCCATATGTGACGCCTCTTTGTCCGATATTTGAAAAGCCCTATCCTTTAAAAATTCTTGAAGACAATACTTTACAATACTTTCTGATCTAAATCAAAAGTTTTCTTAGGTGACTTCGGTTATCTAAGATGTAATTAACTATAGGGGCTTGCCCTTATAGAAAAATTTAAGAACCCAGTTTA